TCAGTTTGTGAGACTCTACCGTTATCAATAAAAATGTTAGGAGTTAATCTTCAACTTATCCGGGTTCTACTTGCGACTTGCATTCAGCTCCACCTATACACCTCTGCCTTGATCTGTCCAGTCTTTGGGGCATCCAGGCGTGCAGGAAATACATGTACACTCTGTTGGGCCGCCTTACGTCATTTTCTCGTGCGGGCCCCTGGTGATTGTGAGTCTTGGTCACGCATAAACCCTGACCGCGGCTCGAACAATTGCTCATAGGCCTATTGCTACACTATGCATCAAACCGCCGGCGCGCCGACTATGTAGCACCCGAGACTCCCGTGCTTGGGGCCAGCTGGGTGGGAATAAGAGAAATCTGCTCTCTGGGCGTCGCTTGACCTTTTTATGGAGCTGTCCCAGTGAATAAAACGCGACACGATCAGTCTACCGTGTGTGGTTTATTCTGACCATCGGTCTTTTGTTCATAATGCCTGCAGTAGATGTCATTGCCCTACCTGCAGACCCATTGAGCCCTTCGATGTCTGAAACTTCGTCGTCAGAGGCACGCGAGCACAGGCTCCCCTCTACCTCAAACTGATGATCACACCATTCAATTCAGTATCCACGCCTTGGGCGTCCTATTCGCTGAACTCCACATCGTCGTGAATTCTACATGCTCCTTTCATCTAATAATTCCCGACTCTCCACGTATTCTTCCCCTCGGCCTGGCCTCGCCCCACATTGCTTTCCGGACACGAATTCTGTAGTGGGCGTGTCCAAAGGTTATATACTGTGACTGTTACGAGGTCTGACAAAAGTTTGGCTATTCCCCCCTCCCACGTTGCTTTTCCCGACTGCAACCCGCGTAATCGAAACGAAAAGGCGGACTTGACAAGTAGTTGTCATTTTCACCGTTTGTCCGCTAGCTTTCTTTATTCCAGCGAACAAACGGAAATGTTTTAACTCTTCGATGTAGGGGGAAAATATTAGGATACTTAAGTGCAGTGATGGAGCGGCCTTGAGTCTTCGGACGCTCCTTACCTGCAGTGCTATTCCTGTTATGCATACGGAACGACCTTAATTCCCCGTACATGTAATGATATCGCCGTAGTCCTCCAACTTTAAGGATACGTAGTAACATAGATGTACCCGAACGTAGTTTATTTTGCAACAGGGCTTACTTATTCTTTCCTTATAATGAATACACTCGGGCTTCAGCGATGGATCGACTGTCTCTGACAACACTGCCATCTTATATCCATCATCTCCTTCGAGGAATGTTTGTCAAGCGTTCCCACGCCAAATGCCTCGTCTTATCCTGGGACCTCGGAAGCGTCCTACGAGTTCTTGCTGGTCCCCCATTCGAACTGCTGTCCGATGCATGTAATCTCCATCTCAGCATCAAACTGGCGTTCCTCCTAGCGGTCGTTACATCGAGGTGAGGTAGCGAGCTGCATGCCCTATCGATTGCCGATGGCCACATCTGCTGTGAGCCACGGGGTTCGCCTAATTATCCCAACCATTGGGTTTCTGACGAAAAACCAGACGCCTACCTTCGGGCCTCCCGACATTTTGCTCCCGACATAGCCTCACTTTCGAGAGACAACTCTGACAAGAGATGGTGTCCGGTCCGGACTCTCAAGTTGTATCTTGCCAGGACCAAGCATCGCCGTGAAGCTAATTCCTAGCTCTTCGTCACCACAACGAAACTCTTTCATCTGGCGTTGAGGGACACTATTGCCCGATGGACAGTCTCGACCATTATTTTGGCTAACCGAGACTGGCCGGCGCAACATGATGAGACGACCCGATCTCACGTCAGGGCCAACGGCGTTCGGGCCGCTTCTGCATCCTGGAACTCAGAGGAGTTCCTCTAGCTGAAATCTGCCAGGCGGCTTGCTGGAAATCTCCCTCCACCTTCACCAAGTGCTACCTGAAAGATGTTCTGCAGAGCAAAACAGCCAGTGGCAGAGCGACCCTGCACTCGGCAGTCCGGACAATGTCCAGCACTGTTCTGGGCCGGGCGAGTGCTCGCTCTTGTCAAACCCGGCTTATGTTCCTTTGGTAACTACACTCCCATTGCCGACCCACCTCCAGGGTTCGGTGCCACTCTGCATATGTACATGTGGGCTGGGCAGGGATATGTGAGTGCAGGAGACTCTTCCCCACGTAGAGTATCACCAGTAGTCCCGACCCGCTCTACGTGGGAGAGGATTTTTTAAAAAGTCTTTGTACCAATTCAGTTTAGAATAAAGTCCACTCACTTATGGTGTATAAATTGATACAGGTACAGTGGAACACGTGAATTACTGGTAGTTGTTTTGTCACTGGTGGCCTTTTTTTTTAAACCCAAGTTTATTCACCCACACTGACGTCATCACACGTCTTGGGAGAGATGTTATGTGTGGAGTGGGGATCAGTTTTAAAGGACAAGATTCAGCATTGCAATTCCATGTACAATATAAAAGTAGAAACTTGTCAATCTATCAATGAGCTCACTTGTTGAAAATGAAAAAAAGGTTGCTTTTTTCTGTCGAGGTCATGTGGATTGACCATCTCACTTTGATTTGCACTGCCAAATAAAATCAAGTCAGCGACACCAGCATTCCGGGGGAATTCAACCACGTAATTAATTCGCCATGTAAATTATAAATCTGAGGAAGTTTTCCTGGGACTGGATATGAACGACTTGGAAATGAGTGCATTGTGAACATTTCTGAATAGTAAAGGTTGGGGAGGGGGGTTGAAGACAATACAGAGACTTTACTTACGGGTACAAAAACATCATGTGAAGTGCAATAAAATGAACAAAGTGAAACATTTTTTATTTAGAAATTTCAGACGGTATCCAAATTTTATACAATGTACACACAAGAGTGCATCGATTTATTGGCAACATCACTTTAGTGATGCCATAATTCGCAACAAGATCAATGTTGGAATCCAAGCATAATCTTTTCAATTTGCTAATCAAGACCCTTCAACTTAGTAGCTGTTCAGGTTACTTCAGTCACTAGCAGTTTGAAGTTTTCATAAGTTATACTTCAGTATAGTAATGCCGATCAACTTTTCAACGTTGATGGCTGTGTAAAACCTTATCCCTGATTATCTTTACCTCAGAAGTTAAGGGAATCTAGATCAGGTACGGATATCCAAGATAGCTATGTTCCCTGTCTCCCAAGGAAAATAATCAACACCACTAATTCACCCCTTTTATGTCGTGGACTATTAATGTGCTTCTTTATGTGCTCTTGCTTCTTTATTAGAAATGATTAAGCATTGAGACTACTTCCCGAAAAAACCAATTCAGCCAGTAAGATACCCTCAGAATACACTTTCCTCTAGAATGACTGGACAGGATTCAAGAATCCACAGAAATAATTAGAATAGCCCAAAATCAGTGAGCGGACGGACATGATTACCCAGATTGGAAATGAAGATCTAGTTTACTGGCATAGTTGGCAAACTTACAGTAGACTTACGTATGGATGTAATTCACAGTGTATACCGCTTCAAAAATATTTAAATTTTATTATGAATACTACTAATTGCAAAAGACCCACTTGTAACAGTTTCCTTATTCCCTTCGCAAAAGAGAGAATTTACAAGTAAAAGAATTGATAAGAGTCTGTCTTGAAACAACTTTTAATCTCTGTATGATTTACATTACCGTTTAAGTGCTCAGTTGGTAATTCTTGTTGCATAAAAAATTTCTGAATACAGTCTTCATGGAAAAGTCTTCTTACAAAATATGTTGAATACCTCAAATACTTGATCTTCTTTTTTATGGTCTTTAAAACCACTTCCTGCCGGGGATTCCGGATCCGGACACGTATGCTTTAGATGCGTGGCCGGGGTTTCTGAACTCGGACATAGGGAACATGGCCTTGTAACAAAAGATAGTACTTGGAACAAAAGACCAGGCTGTTGGGAATTACTGACATTTTTCATTCTAAGAAGTGGAGATAATCCAGCCCCGTTTTGAAACACTATACCATGGTTTTGGGCATTTAGAGCGAGCGGATTACCACCAAGGACAAAAGCGCTCCACCACCGCAGCGATTAGCCACACAGCACCGCTGCATGCTAATCTAGCCACTATTGGAAAGAGGTCAGCAGCGCACTGAGCCAGGTTCGTGAACAAAAGAAAGTTACATAACACTGCACAATCTGGGCTCTTTTTACAAGGCTGCAGGCCTGGCTGAAATACTCAGGCGTCAATAGATTTCGTCTGTCAGGCTAGAGTGGACACCAGACAGTCCTTCACGTGTTTGTAAGTGTCCGGTAAATGAAGATAGGAATTTTTAAAGAATTTTGAAAACAGAAAAAATGATAAATATCCCACCCCAGCATCATAAACATTGATAACTGCCCCGGAAGGAAGAGGTTAACCATTTCCTGCTGGGGGCTTTAAAATGCAGTGCCTATGTATGATTTTCAAAATTCTTCAAAAATTTATAATTTCATTTACTGGACGTTTAAACCCACACGAATCACTATCTGGTGGCTACTCTAATCTGACAGGCAACCTCCACTGACTCTGAGTATTTCAGCCAGGCCTGCCGCCCTGTAAAGAGAACCCAGAATTGTGAAGTGTTATGTAATTTCCTTTGTGCCCGGTGAATACCAGTGGCGTCTTTACAAACGTAGCTGGATTAGCTTGCAGCAGTACTCTATCGCTCATCGATGGGGGCGCTGGAGCACTTTTGTCCGCGGTGCTAATCTGCAGGCGCGCTGTGCGGCCGAAAACAGTGGTATACTGTTTCATAACAATGAAAGATTACCTCCGGAACAATGCAAGTCGAAAAATGATGAAAATCCCCAGCAGCAGGCCTTTTGTTCCGAGTACGGCCTTTTGTTACAAGGCCTTGGTCTTTTCTTCCGATTTTTGGCACCCCAGCTATGCATACAAATTTGAAAGGTACCCGAAACCGGGTTCCCTATCAGCATATGCTTAAATCATACATTATAAAATGCAGCCACAGGCTTTGTCTTTCATCCCATTTACTTCATTTTTTTTCCAAACCTCCAATCATCACTGTCACTGTTCTCTCAAGGGGATCCTTGAATACAATCTATTGTGGAAGAAAACTTGCACTAAATGTGGTTGCACTTACTAACCAGTTAATGTCAGATTTTCTTATCTGAAAAAGCTGCTGGAGGCAGGTTTGTTTACCCTCAAATTCTTCAACATTGCAATTGTGCTTTGACCCAACCAAGCACAACGCGCTAATACATGTATATCAACCGCGGAAATAAAAACAGAATTCTTAAACGAGTGTGCACGTCCTCCGTGAACAAATAAGGAAAAGTATGGGTGTTTAAATGCCATCTGGCATCAAGTGGTTAAGACAGTGTCAGATTGTCAGATGTACTATGCTACAGCAGTCCTTTGAAACTGTTGTAAAATGCTCATGCCAACAATGCATGACAAATACTGATAACTAAAGGTATTGTTAATTCCAATGACCCTGATTGTGCTGAACTGTTAATTTTATTTCAGGATTTCGCGTGTCTGACAAAACTGGTCAGACAGAGCTTGAATACTGCTTTAAGATGCTGACCCGCACACATCCCCGCAATAATTTTCATAAATAGACTGCCAATTTGTTGTGAGGTAGATCACAGTTCCTTCAATAAGAGAGCAAATTTTACATCTTTGCTGAATCAGCAAGGTGACATGATCCACGGCATAACACCGTTCTCTGGGTGAGAAGACTGTGCTGTAAGCACATTAGTTATTTACAGCTCGTTTCTTGAGATCTCTGCTAGCAACATAGGCTGCATTACGTCCAGGTGCCCCTGTCACGCCACCTCCTATGTGCCAAACAAAAAGAAAAGCCATGCACAGCAAATTAGGCATAAATTAAACAAAATTCCACATTCTTTTAAGGAGGAGCCAGTTTGATTCCACCCGCACATGCCCAAAATGAGGTCCTTTAGGAGAACCAATGTGAACAAGGTCAAACACTTCCTCACATGCGTAGTTTGTTCTCGAATGACGGTGCCTCTTGGACATACCAAAATGGCTCATTCGTGGTTACTGTAGGGTACAACTAAGTTACCTGGATGGGCGCCACTACCACAGAGATACAGGCCCTCAACTGGGGACCGGTAACTGCTACATGATGGAACCGGCCTGGCAAAATACAGCTGGTCCAAGGACATGGCACCGTGGAAGATATTCTGGCAGGTGGAAAAGAAAGAAAGGAGGAATTAGATGTTTCAAGGAGTGAAAAAGTTTAGAGTTAAGCACATCGCTAAAGCTATTATGTCAATGGGATACGACTTGACCCTAAAAGGGCACCGAGTGGGGTGAAGATAGATTCTGTAGATCCCTGTGTAAAACATAAATGACACCATACAAATTTGATACAAAACACCACTTTTTGTTTCTAAGTGTCAATATGTTTCATGTGATTATTTTCTCTTTCAGTTACTTAGCCTTTAGGAATTCTCAAAGTATTATGTACAGATTTTCCATACCCCTCCAGTCAGTCCAAAAATGCGCTCCAGGTCAGGCGGAGGTAGTATATCTCTGCCAACAACACTGGACTTGAAACCAGGGCAGTAGTCTTCAACGTTGTCAAAAACTGTAGGCAAATAATGGGAATAACAGAAAAAAACAGAAAACTCAAAAGAAAAAAGATCTGTAGGGGCAAAAAGTCCGAGGCTGTGTTTCATCAGAAGTTGTCAGCTGACTCTAGTTCAATAGGTAAGACCATGATCAGCCAAGATCTGGAGGTCAGATACATGAAAGGACGTTTTGCCTGATTAACCCAATTTGCCAATTTCACCTGTCTATACAAATGCCTAAATGTTTATTCCATAGACTAATGAGGACACTGCCAAAAACTGTTCACATCTCTGTTCAGGAGGTTTTTAAAAATCTGACCCTCTCCCAACACCTCCCAACTTACCTAAATCGGCATATTCATTCTTCTTCTTGTCATCCCACTCTTCTCCATTTGCCAAGTGGTACGGAGTGTACTGGGTGAATAGTGTCACAACGTGACACCCCTCAGGAGCAATGGTACGATCCATTGAAGAAGGTATAGTCATCTCTATAATGGGTCGCCGGTGGATGTCGCCCCTGGTGCATGGTTCATACGAGTCATTGATGAAGTCCATATTCTCGCAGTTGAGATGGATGGTGGCCGTGTGGTGGGCGCCAGGCTCTTGGGAAGGCACATTTGGGTTTGCTGCAAAATTTGGCAGCCTGTCTACAGCCACTATATGGTGAACATATAAGCAAAGCATGCAGTAATGTTGCTTTGGGGCAGCCATCCAGGATAATCAAAAACTTTTCTGACCCCTGTTCAGTCTGCTGAACCAAACCAGATTCAACCCTTGGTAGGTTCTCTGGGTGAAAAAAGTGAGCCAGTGAACTTTAAGGTATGAAGGCAAATATCATCTTTCGTTTTACTTTTACTTTTGTTTTACTGACAAAACTTGATAGTAATGAAGGCAGAACAGGGCAACAATTCATTTGAATAGTCAAATACAATATTAAGATGATCTTCTGATAACCTGGGAAATTAACTGCACCACTGATCTACATGCATTATGTCTACTGAATTCTGTAACATATAAAAATTTCACCTCAAAATCTCTTTACAAATGCCAATCTGCTCACAATTGCATACAGGATTTCAACTTTTTGTAATTTTTATTTACAATATCTAATTTTTACTTAAAGGAAAGAACTAAAGTGAGAGGAAAATAAATATTCAAATTTTGGGTTGTTGCTCGAATGTGAATAATTTTGATAGAAGAATCAAAATGCTAGATAGAAAGAGTGTTGTAGTCGAGACTGTCACCAAACCAGACATAAGACCGTGCACTTGACCATGCACAAGTGACTGGGTCAATGACAAGGGAATGCGTTTGTTTCGGTTCATTTGAATAGCTTGTGACTTGAATTTAGACTGGAGGTCTTGCATTGGTCTTGTGCTGGTCTTGAGAAAGTCTTAAGTGGTCTAGACGACAATAATGATAGAAAACCAATCCTACCATTTATCTTTGTGACTGGGGAAGTGTAATCAATGGCTTGGACCTCCTCAATGAATTCCTTGGGTAGAGCTTCCTCAGGGGTCAGATTCAAGTAGGTGATTCTGGCCGTTGCATTGGACAGCACCATCTTACTGCGGACTTCAGTCCCGTCCTCTAAGACAACTCCACAGGCCCTCTGATCAGAATCTAACAGCACTGTACTCACCGGCTGCAATGTCCAGTGCAAGGATGGAATGTTATCTCATTCAAATTAATTCTGGCATTCGTCCTGCTGTCACTTCCAAAATTATTCACTGTCAAGGTACATTGAACACCTCAAGTTTTGAGTAATGCAATTATCTGGCACCAGAACTTGAAATCAGCAGTGCTATGAAGTACTGGGGCATAATAAGCCATAGGCCTATAACAGGGCAGCAGTACTGTTGGATACAGAATGTCAGTTTCCTTTACTTACTGAGACTACACTAATGAGTATAGGAGTGGTCGCAGGCATAATTATCTCTGAATTCAAATTATGTATCTTCTCTTATAGCATAATGCCTTTGGTTTTGACAAATACAGTACAAGGTAAGAAAACATCCTAAGTGCAGGTGAAATTTTGTTTTCTGTCATGGGTGGATTCTGTCAGAGTGGGGGCTACTCTTTGGCTGCCTCAAATATAATTCAAAGACCTAAAGTTCAGTGTACTCAGATGACTACCAACATACTTGGGGTACTTTGCACTGGGATTTTAGGAATGTAGTTTAGCTATATGGGTACAGAGCTTGCCGCATACTGACTCATCGTATTATTATGAGGGTAGTAAACAAGTCCTAGGTATCCACTCTCCAATAATACATCACATAAATGTACATGTAGCAGTGGAATCACTCCGGTGGAGACAGACAACATGGGTCTATAGCCCTGTCCGCACTGGATTTTTTTGGGTCAAACTTACTGAGCGGATGGGGGACTTTTCCCAGTTTAAGTCCAGAGCAGACATCTCACATAGGTTTCCTCTCGAGTACTTTTACTGATCACCAATGTGGTTATTTTTACGGGCCAATTTCTGCCCAGGAAAAACTCCCAGGTCACTTTTCCCAGGATGGAAAGCCCAGTGTGGACAGCGAAAGTAGTGAAATTTAAGCATGGGAAGCTACTCGATAGATGAAAACAAGTGCAGAGAGGTCGCACAAAGTGCCCTTGTGAGTCATTGTACTGAGAGCTCAGTTACTTCTCCCGAGGACTCAGCTACTTTTCACGTGTCGAAAGTCCAAGTGTGAACAGTTGTCACATTTGATCATTTTTCGTTTTACCATCGGCTTGGTAACACCCTTGGAAAAGACAGTCCAGTGTGGACACGGCTAGATGGGCTAGGTGTGGAACACCATGGGCTGACCTTACATATCTAGTGGGGACTCATAAACAAAAAGTGGTCCACATACAGTAATGCAGAGCATACAGAGTCTGTATGGACTTAAATACGTCCACACAGGGTTGCCCTTTCTTGAAAACAGGTTCGGGGGCAATTCTGGGGTTAGGATTATCATTGCGAAATGAAAAACTGTTAAGAAAACCTTGAACAAAAAATCTAGCATAAAAGAGTCTCCATAGTGCAAACACTAGGAGTATTTTCACCAAGATTTCTTTACTAAACGAGGCACTAGGTAACAGCATGCACTTAGAATGTAGTCTCTGCATGTGCACCCACCTCTCTCTTCTTTGCCAATGAGGGAGTAGTTCCAGTCAGAGTGGATATCTTAGTTCTTCCCCCTTGCCTTTTTTCAAGAAAACATTTCCTCAGAACTTCCTCAAATTTTGCATGTTTCCCCCAAAATCGGATGTCTAGAAAAGAAAGATGCTCCCCCCACAACTACAGACTGATCATGACTCACAGAACTATGATCCTGTCTTCTATAGTACCTTTTCTGTCAGAATGGTGGCTCCATGGGCCTCAGCAGCATTGGCAATGCTCCTGGAGACGGCACCCATGCCCCCCTCAGCAAACGCCCAGGCATGCTTCACACCAGCAATCTCTCCCATCACATGGTGAATCAACACATACCTACCAACAGAGGGCCAAAATGTTACCTGCGATGGAGAATAATGCTCGCTCTAATGGTGAAGTCTATTTTGTGTCACTGTGTGTAAATGTATATTCAATACAACTTTGCAAAGGAATCGAAGCAAACAATCAGTCAATGATGACTCCCTAAACTGGATATACTGGCTGAAACGACACCTCTTCATGTGTAAGGCCCAGTCTAGATGCTAGGCTACTGCTGTGCTAAACGGAATTTAAAAATTAGTATGGTAATAGATATGAAGATAATTGCAATTGGGACCATCGAATGCAATAGCTTCATTATGTCCAGAAGCATTTGTTTACAGTTCTATTTCTCTCAGATGTTTGACCCAAGTGTAGATGGCAGCAGGCAGAAGCTTCAACGTATACATTTGGCAAGGTATACAGCAGGACATTTTGAACAAAGTGGTAACAGCGACAGAACAGCAGAACCTTGTGAGCCAAAGGCCGTTGCCTCACTGAATTCTGAGTTTACAAATCTGATTGGTTCTATATGCAATGCTGAATTACAAGAACAACAATTTTTTGGGTTTGGCGTGGCAGCTAGACTAAGCTCAAATCGTACATCAGGGGTGAGATTGGAGGAAAATGAAATCTCCTCAAAATAATCACCAGACGAGGTTTGGAGGGCCCAATAGTAGTGTTGGGTCTATGGTATAGACTCGTGTTTGGCTTTCTTATGTTTTATATCAACTGTTAAATGAAAAACATTGTAATGGTGAATCGGGATTTTTCAAGATTTCAAAAGTGAAAAATTGAAAAATCCTTACATATTTTACCCAAGTGTACATGTACATGTACTTATTGCCCATGTACATGTACATTGTTATTAGTATTATTATTAATACATGTGAGTGTTTCTGGTAATGAAACCAAGGATTCCTCAAAAGTGTCCTATCAGCACTGTAGCTCGCAAGCCTAAAGAAATCTGCAGAGAGGAAACAATGAGAAGAAGTTACAGTTTTTGAGGTGGGAGGAAAACCCCCAGAAGATTATTCTGGTTACACCACAAAATCAGACAGAGACTGAAAACCCAATCCACATGTGGACTGAGCCGAGGAATGGAACCTGGACTGTGAAAGTGGAAGGCGAGGAAAGAACCACTTTGCCAACCTGACTCCCCCAAGTGGTTGGGGTCTCTGAACTAGGACCCGACATTGATATGATGGACTTGACATGACATGTACATGCAGACACAGGTGCAGTGTACATATACCGGTACATGTAGTCAACCAATGTCAACAATGAAACAATGAAGTGTGTCAGTGAGTCTGGTGGCATGCCTGGAGCTCACCACAATTGTAGAGTTTCATTTCAGTACTCGTAACTCGTCACCTTTTTATAATCTGTCTATGTCCTCTACTGTGGAACATGTACATACATAAATTTGTTTATACCGGTACATGTTTCACTTATGGCCACAATTTTGCTTTGCCTTTCAAAGCCCTTGGTCAGTCATTTGTGTGGTGAGCTCCAGGCATGCCACCAGACTCACTGACACACTCCATGTTTCACAGTTGACATTGGTTGACTTCATGTATATTTACACTCCGCCGTGTCTGCATAATTTCAAGTCCATCATATCAGTGTGGAGTCCTAGTTCAGAGACCCTGGCCACTTGTGCGAAGCACTAGAGTTCTGTCCAATTGGAGCACAGAATACCTTCACAGGATTAAAAAGCTAATGGGTGTTACCGTGTTTTTACACGCTACATGACAGCAGGAGCAGATTGCTTGTACACGTAACTACTGGTAAATGAACAAGTTCCAGTACAGGATGATTCAACAGTGCCCTCCTACAAAGTATGCACCAGCATTTCAGGCTTTTCTTCAGAGAGTGTATTGAGTAATATGTCAAATGTCCAACAGGCAAATTTGCATATAACACATACACTGTACATACATAGACCATTTTCCAGTACTCAACTTCGGCTCCGTCTCAGGCTTCAACTGTTTTTTTCACAACCTGACTTTGAAGCTGTAGGCGCACTAATTAGTCTAATAGTGCCACAAAACATCAAATAAGATGCAAGCGAGCAAAAAACTTACAATAATCCAATTTGAATTAAACACTTCACGCCCACAATCGAAGATTGGTTTCGGGGACGAAGCCTGAGACAGAGACGAGGATGACTATTGGAAAACGGCCATAGTATTAAGTATCAGCCCTGCCATACCGCAACATTCATAGCTCATCCTATCCTACGTATGTTTTGCAAATTTTCCAGTGTACTGCACACTGTACGGTACATGTACACATATCCACATGCTCATGTACTGAACGTGCATTCAGCCCAGGGGCCAATTTCATACTTGTATATACCCCGAGCTGGACCAAGAGAGGGCACAATTACCCTAGCAGCACAAGCTCCTTTACTAGGAACTGCATTTTTCAGGTTCCCAACCAAGTATAAAGTGCACATTATAGTCGAATCGTTGCCAACAAAGTGAGCGTTCCATGCGAACATGGCTATTTTCTGCTGAGGGGGGTGCTTCTGCTGAAGGCAGATTATACATACATAATAAACATACTTCCTTCAAGAATAACTGGGGTACAGTTGTTCAAAAGTTCCTTCCATTTTTTAGTGACTTGCAAATTCTACAACAGAAAATTTAGCAAAGTCATTCTTTTTTTGCATAAAAGTAAAACATTTCTCACACTGTCTCACGAAGAAGGTAAGGCCGTCAGGTTTTTGTACTGACCCATGAGTGTATTAAATAATACCAGATGGTCATTTTTTAGTAACTACCAAATGCTGGCAACTTGAACTACTGATGGAGATCACCGAAGACTGTTGAGGGGATTATGACAAGAAACCCCTTTCTTTGATAATCCTTGTGCTTCAGATATCAGTAGGATTGAAATGTCTTTAGAAAGGCATAACCATGCTACTTTGTCGTGGCATGGAGCTTAACTGCTTCTCTTAAAATACATGTACAAGTGCAAGGAATGAACCATTTATACCGGAAGGTTTTGGGAACTTCAAGAGGGTTCCAAACAGAATTGCCTTAAGAGTTTGGGTCAAAGGCTAGAGGTTATTTTAACAGCTTGACGGTGAGGGTTGAGAGTTCCAACTGATTCATACCCACTTCCTGGAGTTCTGGGAGACACCATGGCACCAGTGATGCAGTCCGTTGCAAGTGTGGCCTTCAAAGGTTCCGACTCAAACCAACGGTCCAGAATCTAAACATTGATTGACAGTAAGGGGTCATGTTTCATGGCACTGTTTTAAACGATGCCAATTTATTAGGACTCAGTATGACTTTGACAGAGATGCCACACAGTCTACTCAAAAAAGGGAACTTTTTTAATTGTGGCAATGAGTATCAAAGTGCATGACCGAGCGTACTGAGAGGAGTGCATAACAACCAAAGCTCTTCTCTTGCAGGGTGAAAAAATACAAGGTGAAAAGTAAGTGGAACTGGACATGAACTTACTTTTCACATTTTATTTGATGGCTCTTTAGTGGTCCGTTCTTTCCAAAATATAAAGTCTTTCCATATTTGGACAGAATCTGTAGCATGATGTACAAGATTGTTTACTCCATGCGCTGCGCAGTATTTGATATGTGTCGTACAGCTGAAACTGATTGTTCTGACAATCATAAAGGCATGCAGGTGCAGGTGGTGCGTGTTGCATCGTATACAGAGAAAACCAGAAAAGTGGCATCTATGCTGTGATGAGGTTCTGGTAACTGATTACCTTGGCCACTGGAGCAGTCATCAGCTCATAGAACATGGGAAGGTTCTTGCCAAGGAATGAGCCTATTCAAGAAATGCCAGAAAACGGAAACTGTTGTTAAAAGCGACAATTGAGAAGGAATTTAGCCACATTTAACCTTGTGATCATCAGCAGGAGTCTGAGTATTTCTACAAATTTTAGGATGGATATATACAGGAATTTGAAAAAAGCATTTGGACTCACTCTGAGTGCTTTTGCACATACAGTAAAATCTCAATAACTCAAAAGTCGGCAAGGTGAATACAATTTTAATCTCGAAGACATACTTCATTTCAGGCAAAAGAATAAGCTTATTTTGCACAAAAGTTCCCCCCCCAAATGCCCACCCCTCCACATCCATTTATCTCAAAGTTTTTGTGACACTACTCCCAAAAACTGCAGCAAAAACACTTCAAAAAGTTTTAAGGAATAAATTACGGCATTGTGTCTGCAAGTTTCTTACAAACCTGTGCTTGGCTGTTAAAACAATTATCATATTCCAAAAGATTTCACATATTCTACTGACAAAGCCTAATAAGGCTTGACTCATTTTGTACAAACTTTAATGTTTTTTTTGAGGGGATGAGGTTGAGGAATTGTTGACAGCTCTGCCCCCAAACTCACCAGTCTTTAACAGTGCTTTGATGGCAGGCCACATATCCATTCTTTCTTTAAAAGATCCCTTGCCAAGAGCTGACAGATTGACTGGACTGGCATCCAGCAGGGGCTCAATAGCAACACCTATTTCCTCGATCAGCTTCGTGTAAATGAAATACTCCTGAAATAGAAGACAAATTCTCTCTCAAAAGAAATTGCATTTGAAAGGAAAAAGGTGCCATGCCAACCTTAAAATCCTGACATCGTTTTCGTTGGAAATCAGCTGGTAGTCCATGCATTTGTAAGTCTGTGGCTCATGTATACTGGTTGCGTAAGTGTGTGGTAGTGTGTCAAAATCAGATGGAAATAGGCACATTTATGAATGGCAAAAGGCAATAAAAGGGGACTTTATTGTTTAGAGATTTTTGGAATTTTGTGATGCTACTGATGCTTAAAATGTGCTCTGAAATTTCACTGCCGTTTTCTTTAAAAACTCGAAGTTACACAAGTCCTTATTTTAGCATTCCAGTCTGACCTCAAAACTTCATTACTTCAATTTAAAATGCTAAGTCACCACAAAGAATGCAGAGTATGAAAAATAGCAAAGTTGACATTTCACCTTTAATTGCAATGACTCAAAATGACTGCTTTGGTACCCAAATGTGCCAGATTTTGACACACCACATATGAATTATGAGAACTACATGTATACAGCACCTTAGCATCTTTTTCTGAGAACTGTGCAATCTGACTGAAGGTATCCTTAGCATCATTGCTCAGCAAGAGTGAGCGTGGAGTGCCGCTTGGCCCTGGTTCTTCAAGGATTGGCGTGTAAGCACTGCCTCGTCGGAAGTACACCTTCAGACCGTGTTTCTAGACAATGAAAATCCATATTTAAATGATTTATGTACTAGTAGTAGTAAGTGATTCCAGGGGTTAATAACATTGGAGTTGTTGGCCATCTTAACTCTTCCATGCAAACCAAGCAATGTTGACAAAGCTGTCCAAATCAGTCAAGTGCCATGTGATACTGTATGTCTGAATAGTGCAGTGAAGTGGACTGAATTTGACAGTCTGTAACTGTTTAACACGATGATGACAAACAACTGTAGTTCACAAGTTCATAAAGAAGTCAAAGATTGTGAAAGAGTTTGTTTCTAAAGAAATCTAAGACTTCTGACTCCAGTTCCGTTACAAACAAGTATAACGAAATGTGCAAATAAAATATCCCATTTTCGGATAGAGAAACCTACCTGGAGTTCCAGATCATTGTATATTTCAGGACGCAACAAGCTCAGAACATAGGAACATCTTGAGAATTTGAACCCTTAAATGCAAGAGACAGGAAGATGATGAAACTCACACCACTGCTGTTATCATGACTCAAGACCCAGATTGTTGCTGTCTAAAATGTGAAATGTGTCTTTGTGTCTTTATTTAGCATCCCAATTAGCATGAAATACAATGTATTACTGGCAAGAGCTGCATTTAAAGTACTTTTCTGATGATGAAAAATTTCTTAAATCTTAATCTCTAGTAGTCACACTATACTGCATTAAACCCTCTTGGTGAACTGTTTTGAAAGCCAATTTCAACATGATTTTACTCAATCTCCTAACATTTTTGCCAGAACGCTTCCTGAATATTCCAAAAACCACTGTGTAAGATACCATACCGCACATTCTTTGTATTTCAACTTCAAGTACATGTATACTGCATCATAGAGTAAAGACGGTTAGCTGTACCGTAAACCCTTCCACAATACTCCCATAATTTCTGACCGATTTTAAAAGAAACTTGGAAGGTCTGAGTTAAACACTCTTATTGTTCTTACATAAAAGTAAACATCAACTTTGGTACACCTTTCAGAAGCTCTGTAAGAAGCTACAACTCTGCACTTTGGCTGAGAATTCAGAATGAGGCTTGCCAAATATTTCTTTTCAACATCCACCTGTGACATCAAGCTGTTGTTTCGCCGCTCCATTATTTTGCATGAACTGAGCTAAAGAGGCAATACCCCTCCATTCTTTCGGAGGTATTGCTTCCATCACTCCATTCGTGCTGAACAATGGAGTGGTACATTTTTAGGCAAAAAAAGCCACAAAAAATACTGGTACACTGTAAATTGCAATGTAATTTGAATTTTAATATATTTGTTCAATCAAGTTTCAGACTGAAAGATTAACAAATTGTTTTTTTTAAACAACTGCTACACAAATGAAATGCCATGTTTCGTAAGTAAATAAAATATTGGCATTTTTGTTGCACCTTGCAGGCAGTAATACTGACAATAATATTGTACAGTCCATGAAAACTGTTGGTGTCTCAATGCTGCAGTAACAGCCCTCGCCATTCACACATCCTTTGATTAGAGAACTCGCCATTGTCAAAATACTTTGCGAGCCATGCCGGTAATTTCCCAGTCATGCAAGACAAGTCAATAAAAATAAAGTCATGGAATGCAACCCCTAGAAACTTGTGGTTTTCTTCGCGAAGTCACAAATAAGTCACTCAAATATGAGCACATAAGATCATCCTTCTTGAAATGTTTAATGACGTTCCATGCCGAAACAGTTCAACCTTCATCTTTTTGGTTTTAACCATAATTCTGCAATAAGCCTTTTGCGAGTTAACTTTGACCCAAATCTGGCACAAATTCACATGCACATAACTTGAATTCTCCATGCTAAAACAACTTTTGCTATACCTCGTGATTTGGGGCAAGCATTTACTTAGTTACATAAGAGAGGCCTTGCAACAATACACCGTTCTCAGTGGATGAGAAGGGCACAAAGAAACCAGTCCATTCCAGAGATGGTAGTCGCTCTGCGAAAGCTTGCCCTGAATCACAAGGTATAGCAACAGTGTCTTTAGTCTGAAAAATTCACATCGTTATGTTTATGAGCAATCAGATAACTCAGTGTACAAGATTTTATTCAAATGTAACTGGCAAATGGCTTATTAGAACATAAAAAAGTCTTAAACTCAATTTAAGGGTTTCTCATGAACTTGGAAATCGAAAATCACTTTTATATGACTCACTCCAGATTGCAAATGCAGCGATGATTATGTACAAAGCCTTCACGAAGAGCAATTTGTGTGCAGATCAAAGAAAAACTTCGAGTACACCACACTGGATAAAGAGTTAGTGAACTTGACTATATGCGACATGACCGATTATTTTAAACTTCGGTGTTCGATAGTATATTGCCAAAAAATACTATCTTTGAAACAAAGATGCTCCATTCGTGCAAAAAAAAAGGGAGCGGTGGAAACAATAGCGTGATGTCTCAGGTGGAGGTTAAGTCACATAACAACCTTGGTACGTGCCATTTATGGGTAAGAATTCCTACCCACGAATGTCAAGTACCGAGGGCATTATATATCCCCATGCATGAACTCATGGCCTGTACACTACAGTTTTTAAAAAAAACACACCACTTCTCATGTTCTCCTTCAGTAGTTATTATCCAATGACACTCGGGGATGGCTCAACCAAAAATACAAAAGGTTCTGTTATTACTGATGCATGAATTGAATGAAATGCCTAGTGTCTTGTTAATCCTCTAAACATTTATAAACACTAAGCGTTTATAGACACTTTTTAAAAAGTCAGTTTTCAGAAGCCTTTGTTAGTCAAGTATCATTACATTTTCATGCACTGTCAGTGTTTATTTTGTCACTATTATTTCTGAGTACATGTATCAACATAGCCCCAACAGTCCCAAATCCTCCAATCTCAATATTATTTTACATACACCCAACGGGTCTAGGGTTAAAATCTCTGTATGCTTACCTGGCACAATCTCCTCAGTGACAGCAGCGCCTCCTATGACATGCCTCCTCTCCAAGACAAGAGTCTTCAGGCCCGCCTTTTGAAGATAGGCTGCCTGAACACGAGAGAGAAAGAAAAACCATTTTACAGTTAACTGATGTTTAAACTGAGGACTTTAGCAAGCTGCTTTCACCAGTGTTGAAGTTTCACCAATCCACTTTGTTTTTAGATGAGTGCCAAGGTAGTGCATCTGACAATGCAGTTAACAAAATATTTAATTTAGCCTAAAAATGATTATCAAAAAGTCTGAACAAAAATGTGTTCCTCTGTCATTTCCCCCTAAGCGCTTTGAAGGCAATTCCAAAATTTAGGTGACATCTTCTAAAAACCTTTCATCGATTTCCAAGTGGGTTCCTCAACCACTATCACCTCCAAAAATACAACACGTGCTGTGTACGTTTTTGGATACTTCTAAAGTGCTCTAATGCTATGGACACCATGCAAAGCTACCCTGTCAAAGGTGAAAAAGTATGAGGGCCATACACTTGAATGCTGCTCATGTGTATCAGGTGCCCACTCAAAAAAGTTGTGGACTAAACAAATGAAAAATGAGATGAAAATTAACATTAGCATGACTATGTCCTAGTCAGGCTAGTGCATCTATGGCATTATGAGTGGTGCTATCCCCCACCCAGAAGTGCACCCTCACCAGCAAAATACAGGCAGGTACATGTACTAAGTTTTCCAACCAGGTTCATGCACATGTTTGATATGCATGCTAAGACTACATGCTGCATAATAAATTCTTTGTGCATACTCATCAGCATTGGTACCAAAGGATTGTCAATTTCATTTACAAACACGCCCTCTTTTGTTCCCGCTCAGAGCAGATAGTGATACTGCATGTTACACATACATGTGCATGTACACTGTACACACGAGCCTGTGCTCACATTAGATGGTAAAGGTATTTTCCCATCATATGAAACTCTTGTCAAACAGAGCCATTCCTATCCTATTTGGTGTCCATCTAGACATTTCTTTCCTGACACCAGCAACTTTCCAGATCTCTAATAAATGCTGTCTCACTCACTGCAGTCAGTCCGTTGTGGCCAGCACCAACAACGACAGCATCATACTCCTGCGTCAGGGGATCTGGTCCTTCTGCTCGAAGTTTTACACCAGATGTGCTTAACAACCTTGATGTCACGTGACCTTGGCTGTAGCCAATCAAAGGCTTGTACAGACACCTCTGGAATGCTGTCTTTATCGTGAATGGCAATCGCAACATGGCTACCACAAACGTGAATGACTGAAACAGATTCAATTCATATAAAAGTAATCAGTAACTCAATTATCTGAAATCGGCATGCCGGCTAGTAAGTTTCACCTGTAATTGTAATCCGTGCTATTTAGCCTGTTAGCTCGGAGTAGAAATGGACTTGAAAACCAATATTAATAAAATTTGGAAAAAGTATCATACAGCAAATAGGAAACTTAAGTCCAAGTATTTGACAAGCTTTAAAGGCTACAAAGTTACATGTATGGCACCCTTGAAATTTGGGGGAATTTTACTATAACTCCACAATAACTGTTCGGAGAAGGAAATATCTGAAGAAACATTCAGGTTCGGAATTGTATTTTGACTGCATGCTTCAGTCCATAACCTGAATGCTTTAACTGTGTACAACAGTGTGACAAATACAGGCCAACACTACTCTGTGATACACTCCATTAGTTATGCATAGACATCACCAGGATTTTGACCATTCAGGGCTTATACATAGTGTACATGTACATGTACAGTAGGTTGTTATGTATACTTTTTGTACATTTCAACATTTTAAGTGGGAAGGTGCATGTACAGTACATGTAGCACTTAACCCCCAGCATATATGGAGGGGCACAATGGCACATGCCCTGAAGCAAGAGTCTATACCCTCATACAAAATTTTGAAATGTACCATGTTACATGTACATGCAAGTAGGATTTCTTTCCAGATTTCTCTTTTATTTCCAGCAATCAAGTCTAGTTTTTCCACTGCGCACTACTACGGTAGTTATTTTTATAGCACACAGCTCTTGCTGGTTCTGCTTTTCCTTCTTGTTGCATAGTTTTGTAGGTACATGTAGAAACGGTAACAGTCCTGGCGTTAGTTATAAAAATTCCTTTTTTATTTTCCACTTTGGACTAAAGTAGTTTTAAAGGGACATGTTCATGGTCGTCCATCACTTGTCAAAGTTTGAGGGACATACAGTACATGTTCACTGAATTTTGATTACAACTAATGAGAGTGTGCAGAGTACAGCCTGTGACAGTGAAGGGTCTAGGGCCTGCTTATAAGGTGCCCTGGGAAATTTTGGATTCTAAATGCCCTGTGGTGTGATCTCAAGTCTGAGGCAATGTGTAACAAATTTTTTTTAGCCAATGCTTTTGCAAGATTTATTTCTTTTTTCAAGCAATTGTTACTTGTGATGTACACAAATACCATGAAGTAATTGATGTAATGACAGGAAGACTTAAAGCTAAACAAGAAGCCTCCATAAGGTGTAAATAATTTGGTTTTAAGCCTCCTGACATTAAGGCGCACCATTGCACTGCACCAAAAGAGTGTGTGTGGGGGGGGGACATGCCCTCCCCAACTGATTGACGTCCATGGACAATACTGTCAGCGAATGAATTCTGTTAAGGGAATAACAAATTTTTTATGAGGAAACAACCCAATACCAAAATTTTTGTTTCCAAAACAAAGTTTTGTTGTTAGCGGGGAATGATTGGGGACATGTACCACTTTCTTTGGGATCCTAAATACTAAAATGTAGGGGGAGTAGACCAGGTCCGTAGGCGCAGGCTGGAGCTGGGGGGGGGTTCGTGGGTTCATTCCGAGTTCTGCTCGTTGGTGTTTATTTTTAATAAATAACTAAATATTTTTAGTACACCATAATTTTTGGAATATAAGTTGTGGCTATATGTTGATTCTCACACTGAAAATGTCCCTACGGCTTATACTCTGGGTGGCTTATACAGCAACATTCGAAAAATAAAATCAGTCACTAAATTTCACGCTGTGCCTCATGGCCAGCCACTGAGGACTTGAGAAAGTTTAGGTTTAATGACAACACTGGTTCGCATGCTGCTTCATGTTACACTTGAAGATTGTGTGGCCAAAATTGACAAAGACACTAATGTTGGGCACTTCAAATTTCTCTCCTAATGTTTGTGTATGGAGCAATTCACCTCCAATCTTACATGAGGTGAAATTTAATCAAACTCCAAATAATCTGATTCATAAATGTCAATTTCATACAGGCTACATGTACCATGGGGGAATAAGAACACATGTGGGCCACCTCTTACAAAGCTCCAATGAAATTTTATTTGCAAAATGAACTCTTTTAAAGGCACCCTCCAATTTTTTTTAAACAAGTTTTAGTAACATTATGTACGTGAGTGGAGGTAGAATTAGAACTTATTATTTTGTGGCATTTTCTGAAATTTAAAAAAAACAAATGTTCTTATCATTTGCTCTTCACCCCATGGACCTCCTGGTCCCACTAGTGTGGCACGGACTCTCCGCACTCCAGTGCCACACTATACTATAGGCTATGGACTTCCATATGGTCACCCTATGATAGTAAAGTGACTGAATCATTATTTTCAGGGTGCTACATGACGAGCAAATTCATGTTCACACCGTGCATGTTGCCAAAAAAATACAGGTCAAGCTAAACGCTACAAAATACACTCGTGCCCAGTAGGCCTAGTTCTATGTAATGATGTAGGCTAGCTATTAACCCTAACCCTCCTCAGTCCTCCAACAGGTGAAGGATTGAGGAGGGTTAGGGTTAATATTATCAGTAGGCCTAGGCCAGTAGTATTAGGTCTTAGCTCTGATTTTCTCCAGAAAGCACAAACGGAGGTTTTCTCTGGTATGATTGCAGGGCACGTTTCAAAATTCCATATGGAACCATAAAAAAGATGGACCCAGGGAAGCCTAGGGTCGGGAGTAGTGTTCAGGAAGTATAACATGGAGGAGTATTCGTTGGGCCTTGTTTACAGGTCTAAGTTCCCCCAATCCCCCCACATCTTAGCCCCACTAGTGTGGCACAGATCACTCCCGATGTATCCTTAGCCACACATCCGTATATGCAATTTTGTGTTGGCGTATTGAACATTCCGGCGCACCCACTTATCATCGTGGGCGCAATTTCTTTTGCACACGAACAAGATTCTTGACCTTTCCGCTTTCTAAAACCATTTATTGAATGATTTCACTCAAGTTATTCAGGTATTTTCCAGTCTTTTTGCCTTTATCCGTTCAATCTTTAAAATAAGGTCTTTGAGCATTACGTCACTTGACCCCTCATCGTCTCGACGGCTGTTCCATGTCAAGCCATATCTGTATGTAATACACGGACTGAGCGATAAGATGTACCAATGGGCTCTTCCAAAACTTTGTCAGCAGTTTAGATTAAGAATCTTGCTCGTGTGCAAAAGACATTGCGCCCAGGACGATAAGTGGGTGCGCCGGAATGTTCAATACGCCGACACGAAACAGCGTATACGGATGTGTGGCCAAGGATAGATCAGGAGTGATCCGTGCCACACTAATGGGACTACCACATCGATCCCTGGCCCTCCTTGCATGATCTTTCTGAGAATAGACGTTCAGAGGTCAC